TGATGCTATTGAACATTTGGCAAATCCACACTTGCATTTTATCCCATTTTTTACTCTGTCTTTAACTCTCCTTCCCTTCAATGCTGATTCTAGAGTCTTGCATACTATTGATGTCAGATTAATGGGTCTGTAATTGCCTGGATCATTTTTCTCCCCTTTTTTAAATATAGGCATTATTACACTTGCTATTCTGAAGACTGGCCTCAGCTTGATAGATGTATTCACAATTCTGCAGTTTCATGTGTTAGTTCTTCCCAAATTCTGGGATAAAGATCTTCCCATCACTCTGACTTGAACACATTAATATCTTTGAGTTTTGCTTCTGGCTTGGATATGATAAATTCCCTTATCCTCATTCCCATTAGTCATCTTGCCTTTACTTGCAATTCAATATCCTTGTTATTGCAAACTGATGCAAAAATATTCATTTATTTTCTGGGCTATGTTGTGAATGCTTTTAATCTCTACCCTACCCCCATTACACAGCAGCTCTTTTTTTTTTTCCTTTTCTTTGATTAGTATATGACTAAAGAAACTTTTATATTTTAATTCCCTGAGCAAAGTCTACCTCAGCTCAAATTTTGACAATTCTCACTTTCTCCTTACACTTTCTGACCTCCAGGACCTAGCTTTCTTTACTGATTAGTCCCCCCTTGGGATTGAGCTCAGTTTACACCGATTATCTTGTTTCAGGAGTTTAGGTAACTAGAGCCTCATGCTAGAAGTTGGTCTCCTTTACTTAGGTTACAAATTCCTGCCAGTTTTTGGAATATTTTTAAGTATAAGGTGCAATTTTCCTCCATCTTCAGTTGGCTGCATTTACAATTTCTCTTATTTTCTCACAGTTTGCTCCTTTAAAATAGAATCCTTAATTCTTCCTCTGTTGACAGCATGACTTTCCCAAAGCAGCCACTGCAACTGCATCACGCCAGAGACACAAGAAAATTTCTGCACCGACTAAGGTGCATCCATCACCAGAGGCCCTTCTGTTCTCTATGCTGTCAAATAAGCCTCCCATGTGGAAATTAAAAACAAAATGTAGAAGATAATCAAATTTTCAGGACAATAAATACAATCCATTAACACTGAACAGAACTGCATTGGATTGTGGCATTTCATTTCTTCCACTGAAATACAAGGCAGGGATTATAATAGAGCTGAAGGGTTCTTATATTTTGTTTTCCCCACTATTTTGAAAGGGAGAAATTATATAGCAAAGCTCAAAATCATAATGCATGTAACATAAATAAGAGGGTCATTCTGTTTGTGGTGCTTCAGAACTAGCTCTTGTAATATGCCAAGTAGAAAGTCATTCTGGGACAGATCCAGCAGGAGACAGACTTATATAGAAGTGAGCCACTTAAATCCAAAAATCTCCCTCATACCAATCTAAACCGTGGAGGTAACTTCCAAGCTCCCCACATGGCACAAATTCTCTTTCTGGGCATACCCAGAACTGTCCCAGCCTGAGCAACTTGGCCCTTCTTGTACACAAGCCCCATTCAGATCTGGACACTAGGCAGTCTTCCAGTTATGTCTTGACTCGATTCCTTGGGTATGGGCTGACCGTGCAAGCCACAGGATGGTCAACTTTCAAAGGACGCATTGGTCACTACTTTTAAGATGCGCCTAGACTGGAAAATGTTGTATAATAGTCTAGTGATAACCATATGAGGAAGGGGGAAGCATGAGCTTATCCTCCGCAGACTGAGGGGACCAAACCTCACATCTGCCAGAACAGTACAGACAATGTCCTAACCAACAAAGCTAAAGATTATAAGTCAGGAGAGCTCTCCACTCCTGTCAAAACTGTCCAGCAAAAAAAATGAAACATTCCCCAAGCAAGAGAGCTGGAGAAGCACCATGACTCAGTAGTTAAGACATATTTTGAGAGGTTGGGGGGGAGGGGGAAGGGATGTCAGTCCTCTTTTCTATTCCCTGCTACCAGGGCTATTTATACATTCTGTATTAAAAGTTGTGGTTTAATCCAATGTCTAAGAGCAGAGACTAGAAACCAGGATCCTCCCCCTACTGATCAAGAGTATATACAGAAGTTTATATATACACTTGTTCAGTAAGGGGAGGGTCCTGGTTTCTAATCTCTGCTCTTGGCCTGATTTAATCCAAAGTCTATTTAATATATATAGTAATGTATCAATATATAATAATAAACTATATGTTTAGGATCCATGCTTCTGTATAAGAATTGGGCATCACTGGTATCCCTTGAAAGAAAAATTAGGCACCTACCTCAAAAAAAGGACTCCAGACCATAGGTGCCTAGTGGTTTGAGGCACCTCCTTGCAGTGCCGGTAAGATGCTAATAACGTACAGAAGAGCATAATTTTGTATCAGCTAAAAAGGACAGCTTCTTACTCAGGCTGCCGGTTGGGTTAGACCATGTTCTGAGGTGCCAAAAGAGCAGTTTTAAGTTCCCCTTCAGAGGCCAGGTACCCAAGTACTCTAAATGCATGCTCTTATTACACATATAGGATTTTTTTTTTTTTTTTTTTTTTTA